GGGGGCCGGAGGGGGGAGGAAATTGAGTTGGGATTCACATGCGAGGAACTCCGGGATAGTTTACCGGTGTCCTAAGCGGTTTGCAGTGGTGGGGGAAGTATTTGCAGTGAAGTCGAGAAGGGAGGCGGCGGACTGGCGACCCGTGTTGCCGACTGCTGGCGGGTGTGATGGCGGAAGAGGGGGGAGAGAGGGGAGGGGGGTCGTATGTGCAGATAGGCGCAGAGCGGGGTGGGGGGGTGGGGACGTGCGGGGGAACAGGTCCGGGAGAAAATCGGATGGTAGAAGGAACTGGTGTGCAGTGGCGGTGTGTGTGTGGGGGGGGGAGTGCAGCGCAACGCGAATCCTCTGCTCTTGGGGGAGAGGGGAGGGGAGGGGAGGATGCCGGTTCTGCGTGTTTGTGGTCTTGTTGTTATTGTGGAGTTGGTTAGTTGGTTGGTTGGTTGGTTGGTTCTGATGGTTTCGTCTTAAAATTATGTGGTATTCATCAAAATGGTTGTGTGTATTGTTATGTCTGTATGTTATCCGACTGAACCCTAGGTCTAGGGCGTTACGTTCCTCATTTCGTGTTGCACTCTCTCCCCCCTCCTTCAGTTCTGGTCAGTTGTGCTTCTTGTACACTCTTTCCTTGGCAGCAGCTTTTCACTCGTTCGTGGTTCGTCTTTCCCCCCGGCCCCCGTCACCCCCCCCTCCCCCCCTTCAGGCTGCCCCCCATCACCCGGCGGCCCTCCGGCCCCAGCTCCGACCCCGTCCCCCTGCAGCTGTTCACCAACTGGGGCTACCTCTTCCAGTCGGACACCTGGGGCATGTGTCGAATGCAGCACGTACTGCTGAATCAGGTACACGGTAGGGAGTGTGTACGGGATGTGTGTACGAATGGGGCCATGGGTTATGGAACGAGAATGGCCTCAACAACAAAGCCCAAAGCACGTAAAATAATCATCTCACCTTTTGCTTCCCCCTGTCTTTTCCCGTTACCGAAATACTTACATACCTGCATACGGACATACGGACATACGTACAGGTGTTTCGGCAAGCTGATAGGCAATTCGCGCAGCTGTTGGACGACATCCGGTACGGCCGTAACGCCAAAGCGGCAGTACAACAGATTGTGGCCACGTGCGCACGACCCTTGGAGTGAGTTCCATTGTACGGCCTTTAGCCGTACTTTGTCGTATCAGGGGTCCCATAGTTTGGGTTTCCCGAGGGTCAGGGAGTCGGAGTGAGTGTGCCGGGGGGGGGTATTCGGCGGGGGCGCTTTGGAAGCCCCTCGGCGGGGGCGGTTTCGTTTAATTGCTGGATTTGTTCCCACTCCCTACCTCGCCACTTTGCCACCTGACGCTGTGTTTCCCCCACCTCCCAACCACCAACCACCAACCCTAACCAACCCAACCATCACAGCTGTACGGACGGCATCAAGCCCACCCGGCTCTACTCGGTCAACAAGGACGTGGACTCGGTCAACCAAGAGGAGCTCCGCAAACTGGCTGGGGAAGAGGTGAAGGGGGTGGGGCGGGGGAAAGAGTGTGTATGCGTGTGTGTATGTGTGTAGCTGCTACCCGCACTGGAGGGTCTCGTTTCAACCCATGTCCGAAGCCTCCTCCCCCCGCTGCTGGCAGCAGCTTCACTCGTTTGTGGTTCTTCTTTCCCCCCGCCGAGACATCTGAAATTCCTCCCTCGCCGCTCATCACTGCCTGCGTGCTCTCCCACATCGCCCCGCGTGCTGTGTGTCCATGCCCCAGGTTACGATGTACGGCCATGATGACGTACAACTGGACCCCGTGATCTTGTCCGCCCAGCCCCCCTTCACCCGCCAGGAGCTCCACGAGGCAGAGGCGCGGCTGTGGGGGAGTGACTTTTGGAAGTCGTGTCTGGCGGCCAGGACGTACTCCTTGAAGGTAGGTGCCGCCGCCGCCGTCGCCGTCGTGCTGGTGGTGGTGGTGATGGTGGTGGTGGTGGTGGTGGTGGTGATGGTGGTGGTGTAGGAAACAACAATTGCCGCGTGCGCATATGTTGTTTTTTTGGTGGGGGATGGGGGAGAAGTGCTTTTCCCTTCTAGGACTCCGAGGACCCCCCCCCCGGTCTGTCCTCCTCCCGGCCGGGAGGACGTCACCTCCCTAACCACCTGGGAGGCCACCTGTCGCCGCCCCCCCTTACCCCCTCTCACATACATACATATATACACAGGAGGACGCTCAGGTTATGTTGGTTCGTAACCTCGAGCTTAAAGCTGAGGGTGGCAAGCAGCTCGTGAATGGCTCCAGGGGGGTGGTGGTGGGCTGGGCGGCCAAGGTAGGGAAGGGGATGGGGGCCCCGTGGGGCGGGGAAAGGGGGGGAGAGGAGGAGGGGGGGAAGGGGGGAGGGGTCGTGCTGTTAGAGGGGGAGGATTTGCTGTCCCCCCTTCCGAACCTGAGTGTGTCACCGGCCCTGCAGGGAGAGGGGAAGGGGGAGGGAAAGGGGGAGAGGGGGAGGGGCGACGACCCGTTTGCGCCATCAGGGGAACAGCGGTTCAGGAACTCTGTGTGTGTGGGGGGGTGGGTGTGTGTGTGGGCGGGTGGGTGGGTATTGACACGCTCTCCGAACCCTAGGCCTTTGACATCCATCCCCGCCCCCCGACCGCGATGACCCCCCCCTCCCGCTCGGCAACTCCCCCTTCGGACCTCAGTCCGACGTCGTCAACAGATTTAAATCTGCCGTACAGACCGCCGTACCGTCTCGCCTGGCGGCGGCTCAGGAGGCGGCGGCAGTGAAACGCGCCGCCGACGCCGACGCCTTGGTCGCTGCCGAGCTCGGGTTGCCGTGCGCCGCAGCTGAAAACGGTTCGGACGCCGCCGCCGCCGCCGCCGGCCCGAAAGGCTCGTTGATGATGCCTCCGTGGCTGGCGGCTCCCTCCAGCGCCGTCGCCTCGGGCCCTGGCGGCGTCAGGGTGATGGTGGCGGGACTGGACTACACGGCACCGCCGCCGCCGCCGACGCAGGAGGCGGTGCGACTTGGGGCGGGGGGTGGGCCGGTGTTGGGCCCTACACACTGTTGGGAACCATGCGAGCACCAGTGTTGGCTCCCTTGGCCCGTGGGCGATGTGTGTGCATTTATGTGTATGTACGGCAAATTACAATTACCCGCATCGACCCCTTCCCCCCTTCCTCCTCCCCCTCCCCTTACCTTCCCTTCCCTCTCCCGCGGGACCCCGGGCCCGGGTCCAGATCGCCGCCCGGATTTCGGCTCTGGAGCGCTGGCGGGGCAGCTACGTCCCTGTCGTACGATTCACGAACGGCGTTGAGACCGAGATCCTGCCGCTGATGCTGACGTGTCGTGTTCCTCAGTGGGGGGAGTGTTCCCGGCTCCAGGTGCCCCTGAAGCTCGCCTGGGCGCTGACCATACACAAGTGCCAGGGCATGTCGCTGGACAGGGTGCAGGTGGGGAAGGGGGGGCCGGGGGGGGGGGGAAGGGAAAGAAGAAGGGTTCATGGCGCTGCCCTGCATACACAAACACATGCATACATAAGTACATACGCACACAGGAGTACATCGCTGAGCTGCGCTGATGGGCCTTTTTCATGTGTATGTGTGGTTATGTGTTTTCCCCTCTCCCGGTTTTGCCCGCCCTTTACCGCCCTTTCGACTTTGTGTGTAGTCCCCCCTCT